CTGCAATACAAATAGTTTCATTTTGGCACTTATAGTTCATATTGCTGATAATATTTACTAAGTGCCTAACTTCCTCCATCACTGTGTCACAGCAGGGTGTATACAAGGCACTGCCAGGTAACCGAACACCATTGCAGACAAAATAAACCCCCTCATGGCAATAGAACTTGTCCATGGCAGTGGCCCCCCAGCAGGACAATGCACCATGCCACACCACAAACACTGCTCAGGAATGACCTGAGGAACGGAACAAAGAACTCAAGGTGTCGACTTTGCCTCCAAATACCCCAGATCTCAATCTGATGTGGTGCTCGGGTGCTCCTAGGACTGGACTTGACTCTGACCTGTCAAGGCATGGACACAGGACCTCTGAGTGGTGCGCCAGAGTGTCTGGCACCAGGGTGTTGGCTTCAGATCTTTTGAGTCCTGTGGTATGTGAGGTGGGTTACCAACACATCTTACAGATGTTTGATCAGATTGGGATCTGGCAAATTTGGAGGCCAGGTCGACACCTTGAGCTCTTTGTCGTGTTTCTAAGGCTATTCCTGAGCAGTTTGTCTGGTGTGGCATGGTGCCACTGCTACTGGGGACTGCCACTGCCATGAGGGGGGGTATCTGGTCTGCACTGGTGTTTAGGTGGGTGGAGCGTGTCAAGTAGCATCCACATGTCAGAACCAAAGGTTTCCCCACAGAACATTGCATTGTAACAAGATGATCAATGTTGTTCACTTCACCTGTCAGTGGTTTTAATGTTCTGGCTGATTGGTGTATGTGTGAGATATAATATTTCTGATGTAATGATAGTGTGATGGATTTGTTTCCTTCAAATTCATCATTATACCATGTTGTGACATAATGTTTGTTAAGTATTAAATAAATAGTTAAATGGTTAATAAGTCACATAATAAGACAATCCCTGTATGTTTAGTCATATGTTAAGATATATATAATAAAATAATGTCAGGTTACAAATGTTTCGAGGCTTGATTGAAAAAAAAAGTCAGTCTATGAATAAATGATGGAAATACTTTCAAATAAAATAAAAGAGCTTTACTGCCAACATGTGATGCACACTGTTGGCTAACATGCATGCTACAGCACACCCTGTTTTGAAAAGCACTGAAAGGCACACTAAAGGCTGATTAAAGTGGTTCCCTTGTTAAAAAGCTAATGGAATTTTTCCATTGAACTATGGATTATTGCCGAAAATAGACTCTGTGGCAAACAAACTCTTATGACACTTAAACACTTTGTTCATCAAAAAAAAAAAAGATCACAAATGAACACCACTTACATGATTTTTTGAAACCACACCACAGTCACATGACTTCAACATCACCACCACAACAAGGCTGTAAAGCCGTGTTGGGTTCGATGACCTTCCGCTGTCACATGTAGCCACTTGTTAGCTCTCTTTTTAAAGACTCATAAAGGCTTCCAAATTCACAAGTGGGGTATTTACTGATGTGTATGTTATCAAACAAAATGTGAAAATCTGTACACAGACCACCGACCTTATTTAAGGTATCTAACCAAAAACCCATTCCAAAATACATTGACTTCAACTGAACTGAAGCCAATTTAGTTTCCGGTTTCAAGACGTATTACTGCAACACTCAATTAAGCATTCAGAAATATCCTAAATTGTACATCTGAAATATCAGGAAACTGTTCAGTAACACATATTTCGATTAAAGTTCTGGTTCTTTTCTCCCATTGTAAACTCACTGCCTGCAGTGATCTATGTATAATTTACACACTTCTGTGTGAACTCACTTTTTGTTCTCTACACATGGGTATTTTTATACAACTACATTAAGTTGCCACAAGATGTCACTGTTGCTCAAATCTTCAGAGTTCAGTCTGCTTTGTTCCAATAAAATGTGCTCTGCTGCACCATATGCCCAACTAAGTAGTACTCTTTGGTCTTCTGGGGACTTTGGTCTTTCCTTCTATGATGATGACGCCCCATCTTGTTAGTAAGTGTATCCAGAAGTATTTGTATCTCAACAAAGGAGGTTGGACATCTCTAGTAATATTATCATTGTTGGGTGCTGTTGGGTTTCCTGAGTTGTAGCGATATATTTATCTAAAATTTTAATTTTAATTCTGTAAGTTATGTGTGATGTTCTCCCCCAGTCCTATCCAGAATGGGAACATGACCGTTTTCTACTAGTTTTCTAGTTTTGACGTCATAGGTGGAGGTTTTAAGACACTTTTTGTGCAGATATTAATTACAGGCTGTAGTTGCTGTAGTGTCAGATAATCTCAGAAGTCTTGACAACTGACATCAGAATTGTTATCCGACTAGGCTGATAGTGTGGTTGGTTTTCTTGGCTTCATCAAGATGATAAAACCTTATTTTTGGGCCAAGGTCCTCTTGTCATGGCTGGTTAGTGTGAGACAACAGGTACAGGACCTAAATGCAGATATCTGAGCTGACAGAAACAGTTCAGGGTTTAATAGCAACAAAAAAAAAGAAAGCTACAAAAGCATTGGGAAACTTGAGGCAGTCCAAAAACAGGCAAGTAACAGATAACTGAATGCAGATTACAGTGCCTAGAAAGCAAAAGTATTAGGCACTTTGACAACATGGCAGGGAATGAATGCAAAGTGACTGATGAGGTAATGAGATGCAGGTGTGTGTTGATCATGGGGCGGTCAGGTGATGAGAAAAGGAGGTTCAGTCTGAGGACATCTGGTGGATGGAAGGAGAATAGCAGTGGTTTGGTTTGGGGAGAGTCTTTTCCATGGAAAACATTTTGACATGTCATAGTAGGAAACGCACAGGTGCAAATAATGACATTAATAATGGCTGAATTCCATTAAGCTGCTTTGATTTCAGGTTCCTGCGTGCCTGCTTACTCTTACTGGGACACTTACATATGACAGAGCCATCGTTCATGTTATCAGTAACACCTGTGCTTTTCCTACTATGACAAGTCAAAATGTCTGCTGTGATAAAAGCCTACATGTGGCTGTAGATGAGGGACAGAGAAACAGTCCGTTATGTAAACTTGGTTGCTAATGTTGTACATTTTTACTTGATTTCCGATGATATTTCTGCTGGAACATGTGTGGCTGTTAAGAACATTTTATTGATGATTTTTCATGGTAAAAAAGTGTAGCTTTTCCCCGTTACAATCATTCCCCAAGTACGGTACACCTGAAAGACCTGAAGACCTGAAAACGCTGACTTTTTCAGGAGGGGGGCTTAAAGAGACGGTGTTACAGCACAGAAAGTATGAGGAAATTGTGGTTAAGAAACCTTAAATACAAGTATGAACCTGCGAATTAGCATGATAGGTCCTCTTAAATTCAACCCCTCCCATTTGATCAACCTCTCTCTCATTCTATTAAGATTTTCTAAAATGAGGCATATGACTGCACTTTACTTTGCTGCATCTTAGAGGGAGACGCAACATAGTTTTTATCTCACACATTCATCTGGCTGCTCTTCTTACTTAGAATTTAAATATAGGACCTTTAATGGAGAACTGTTGTGGTTGGATTTGACTGCTTCTTCCAACTCTGAGGGCCGTGCACTCCAAACCAAAAACCAAATTCAAGGACTCATAGCCGCAGCATGTGGGTAATGAAGGATTTCTTCCTCATAATGCTACTGTTCCCCAACTGCCTGAGCCCTAGTAATCAGCCTTAAAACCAGGAAAGTCTGGCTGCTTTTGTCCACCGAATGGTACTTTTATCCACACGTGAGGGAACAAAAAGAAAAGCCTCTTGGCCTGCAAGACTTAGCTGTGAACCCCTTCCCCCTGGTCTGCATTAGTAATGATTGCAGATATTTGGAATACTTCAGCATCTTTAAAGTCCTTGGCCACTGAGTCCCTGCTGCTTTGGTAAATTGTCAATGTGACTGACAGGAGGCCCACACACAACGTAAATGCTTTAAGCTGCTGTTACCCTACAGTTATCCTCCTCTAGCTATTAAAGCCAAGTCTTCGTTTAGTTTCTTGAATCCTGGGATCATACAGCTTACTGCTCAAGACTGTTCACGTTTCAAATCTACCATTACCTGATAGCAGCATGAAAAGATGTAAGGAGAAGAAGTACTGAAACTTGTTGCTTCTTCCAGATACTCTCCATTTTATGTGGTGAACAATGTCGTAGTTGCTGAAGCAGTCTCTTTCCACCGGGGGAAGTTTAATCTTGACATTTTATGAACTTATAATATGTATTTTAGGTAACATCTTAAACTAACTATACAATAGTTCCATTTAAATTGTGGTTGACTATAAAGTTTGGAATTGTAGATATTTAAATTTCTTTTTTTTCTTTTATTTTCTTGTCTTTTCTTTTCCTAAAAAAAATACTTTTCCTTTATGTCTTTAATTAAAGCTTAGATTGGGAAAATTTCTGAAATTAACTTTGTGTTATATACACTAAAACTGTCACTGTATTTACACAGCACTAAATTATGGGGTGCCGTTTGTACAGTGTCTCACGCTGAAAATAACATCAACATTTTGCCACATTTAGCTTCAAACAATGTTTAAAAAAGTATTGTGAATNGCACACACATTAAAGGGGAGCTATTATGCGTTTTCGTATTTGGAGTCTCATATATCATGTTACAATAAAAGATGTTCATGTTAAAGGAGGTTGAAGTTTTAAATAATAAGGTAAACGACAAGACAATTTCCTGGGTTTGAGGACACCCCCAGGGAAATGTTGCCATAAGCAAGCTCTGTTTTGATGCTTTTTTTTGCACTCTGGCACCTTATTTTTATTAAAAATACAGAGCTTAATCATTGAAAAATTGAAATGTGCACCGCTGTTCAGCCTATTTCTTGCAAGTTGTGATGTTAAAAATATCAGCAGTTTATAGAAATTAGCATTAGTTTTGAGTAGAAACAGAATATCTCACAACTTCTATTATTAAACATAGTTGGTGGAAAGTAAGTCAAGTACTGTATTTAAGTACAATTTTAAGGTACTTGTACTTCACCTGATTATTTCTATTTTCCGCTGCTTTATATTTATACTTCACCACATCTCAGAGGACAATATTTCACTTGTTGCTACATTTATCTGACAGCTTTAGTTACTTTGCAGATTCAGATTATGAAAACAAAATATAAATTAACTAATGTAGTGACAAAGTCCTATAAGCCACTACTGGNATGTTAAATCTAAATGTTCTGGGTGAAACTAAATATTTAGCTAATATGCAAATTCACACTGCCGGTCACCGGAAGTACCAAAATAAAAGCTCGAGATGGTCAGACTGTGTTTATAGAATCAAATAACGAATTAAAACCAACTTATCAGGGGAAATGGACACTTGAACATACATTAGCGTGATATTAACTACCTAAAATAACAAGAAACGTGTTTGGAGAAATTTTATTTGATGTGTACTTTGAGTTGTTAGTGTCCCTTCGGAGGGAATCACCTTGTTGTTTACAAATACTTCCGGGTAGAAAACCAGCGGAGTTTAGCTGTACATATATATGCATATCTCACATTTTTCACGTCACTATATCACCGTTTAGACTAATCAGGTGTTTGTAAAGTCTATAAACACAATGATTGAACAAACATTACTATCACGTTCTGAAATTAATAACATGGCTATCGTAGATTAGCGGGGCTAACCGTTAGCAGTTAGCCCCATTAGTGGTGTCTGTAATAACTCATTAACTCTAAACGGTCCATGAAAAAAAATACTTTTTTCCAGCTGATGTCTTAGTTACAACATGATTGAGCTAACTGGAGTAGTTTCATGTCGTATCCGACAATGGGAGGCTTTTAACAGATGACGTCCTGATGTTAGCTTTGCTGCTGCTGCAGCCACTGATGCTTTCTAGACATCGTGATTTCCCAGAACTGAATAAATACCACACATCGCAACACAAAACTGCTTTGCTAGCTCAATCATGTTGTAACTAAGACATCCGCTGGAAAAAAATATTTTTTTCACAGACCGTTTAAGAGTTAATGAGTCATTACAGACACGGCTAACGTGGCTAAGAGCTGACGGTTGTTAGCTTAGCTTAGGTTGTTAATCCTTCCGAAGGGACACTAACAACTCAAAGTACACGTCAAATAAAATTTCTCCAAACATGTTTCTTGTTATTTTAGGTAGTTATTATCACGCTTATGTATGTTCAAGTGTTCATTTCCCCCTATAAGTTGGTTTTAATTTGTTATTTGATTCTATAAACACAGTCTGACCATCTCAAGCTTTTATTTTGGTACTTCCGGTGACCGGCAGTGTGAATTTGCATATTAGCTAAATATTGAGTTTCACCCAGAACATTTAGATTTAACATTTAGATTTAGATTTAGATTTAATATTTAGATTTAACATTTATATTTATATTTAGCATTTAGATTTAACATTTAGATTTAGATTTAATATTTAGATTTAACATTTAGATTTAGATTTAGATTTAATATTTAGATTTAGATTTAGCATTTAGATTTAATATTTAGATTTAACATTTAACATTTAGGTGCCACATTTAATATTTAGATTTAACTATTTAATATATTTCTAATTTAACAAATATTGCTGTAAATGTGGTAAAAGGTGACGTTAAAAAATACTTTTTTAAACATTGTTTGAAGCTAAATGTGGCAAAATTTTGATGTTATTTTCAGCGTGAGACACTTTACAAACGGCACCCCATACTAAATGTGACAGAAAAACTGTAGAAATAAATAAATAAATAAAATATCATGTTCCATGGTCTGTTGCCTGGTAGTGTTTCTTATGAGATTACCTCACATGAATGAAAACAACCAATCAGAGCCATGGAGTCTCTGAAGCAGCTGTTCATGTCGATCACTACTGTGAACGACAGTCAAACTAGGTAGCACTGATCAAATATGAAATAAGATTCTGTTACGGCATTGCCTGTTTCTTGCCACTAATGTTTTCAGAAGCATATTTTAGTGCGCTGTTTAGCTGAAAATGAGAAAGTTTGTGATCCAGCTACCATGTTGTAAACAGCCAGGCCAAAACTCAGCTACGCCCCCTGACCAGAGAAAAATGTTTTCATTTTACAGCTTAACAGTACACTAAAATATGTTTCTGAAAACAGAATCTTGATCCATATTTGATCAGCGCTGCCTATTTCGACAGTTTGGCTGCAAAACATGAGCAGTGATTGACAGTTGTGTTAGAGATTGGTTGTTTTCGGTGCACCCAGTAGATTTTCGCGAATGCCATCAGAAGCAGCAGGAGGAGCAGGAGTGGCATGATCTTTTTCACAGATTCATGTAATACCGTTTAGATGTAGTGACAGTCTCAGCAAATATGACAAAAGGTTATTTTCATGAAAGTTACCGACTGTAGCTTTTTCCATGACAACTGGAGAAATTCAGTCTGCTGAGGAAAATCATGTGATATTTCCAAAAGCTCCAGCAAAGACAGAACTCACTCTTTGGTTGAAGATGTCACAGCTGGTGGACACATGCAAAAAATATTTAATTATTAATAATACTATTCAGCCAAGAGTCAACCATTTTTAGAATATATTATTTAAATGGTTCACTCTGTGGGATTTAGGGGGATATACTGGCAGAGATTAAATATAATATATAGTGTATAATTACCTGAATATAAGAATCACTGTGTTTTTGTTACCTTAGAATGAGCCGTTTATATCTACATAAGGAGCTGGTCCTCATCCACAGAGTCTGCCATGTTGCATCGCCATGTTCCTACAGTAGCCAAGAATGGACAAACCAAACACTGGCTCTAGATAGGGTCATTTGTGTTTTTGCGTCACCCACTGTAGTTGGCAGCCCCTCTGTGTTGAACCGAACAGTACCAGAAAAACATAGATTTTTAATGTTAAACTGCTTTAATCAGTGTTTTTACTGGTTTAGATCACCGGGTCCATTTTTCATGGAGCAGAAGAGACCTCTGCGGAAAATTCGGCTCCCGGTAAAAACCTCCTGCACATCTGGATCTAAAGTTATCAGATAAAAAGGTGAGCACACATTAGCAGGTGCTGGACTGGCAGCCCATCTGTGACACGTCAAACTGCCTTGGAAAAACATTGATTGTAACATGAAACTGCTTTATTCAGTGTTTTTACTGGTTTTAATCTCCTGCTCTATTTGTTTTGGAGAATAAGAGAAGTCTGCAGATAATTCAGCTCCCGGTGAAAACCTTCGAAACAAGAAACACTGAACACTTATGATGAGGTATCACAGAACATTTTCTGGACAAAGACAGCAAAATTTAGCAGCACGTAGCCTGGATCACACTTAATTATTGTTTTTTATGCCAACTGTCCGTCATGTGCATGCAGTGTAAATATTAGCTAAACATACATTAAGGCCCAATCCCAATACCCCCCCTTGTCCACTACCCCTTAGCCCTTGGCCCTACCCCTAGCCCTTGCCCACTACCACTTGGCCCTCAAAATGAAGCAATGAGGCGTAGGGGTTGAAATCTTTCCCTAGGAATTGGGACACCACTCACTACATCACCACGTCAGTTACGTTCACACATACGTAACTATTTTAAACAGGAAGCTGCGAGCCATCTACGTTTCCAACCGGCATCTACAATGGAGTCTCATTCCTACCGATCACGTTTGCCGCATTCATCATGCTTTGTTTGATGAACAACAGACGACAGGGGACTTCTGCTAGCTAGCTAGCTAGCTAACCAGTTAACATTACGAGGCAGCATAGTTATACTAGCTGGCGTGTTATCGTAATGTGAAAAGTCCAACAATTTTGCAGAACAGGACAGATTACAGACGCCAGATAGTGCGTGCTAGCTAGCTAGCTAACAAGCAACCTGACGATGGTAACGTTAGCTATGTATGAACTTTTTTCCCCGTCTCTTGCTCGGTGGTAGCCATGGCGATGTCTACCCCTCGCTGGCAAGTCAGCATCTGAAATCCCTCGCTCCGAAGGGCTAGTTTCATACCCACTAGGGGTAGGGCTAAGGGGGGGTATTGGGACTGGCCCTAAATGGCAGTTGTTACGTAACAGAAGGGTTCCTGTGTGATTGACGGGAGATCACGGCTGTTTAGAACTGGCACCATCAGACCTCTGCTCTGGAGTTATGGCCAAATGAACAAAGTGCTTTGCTGCCATTAATCAAACATTGATGTTAAAGTTGTAACGCCACAGGAGGGACACTTGAATGGGTTAAAACTATGCAAGTGGCTGGTATAAAGTAAGCCCCATGTATATGTCAGCCATACCGGACTTCTCCAAATCTAAACAAGACCTGCCAGTGAGCTTTGCTTTGTATCATCTTAACGCTGTGAAACCTCGTATGTCCTAAAGGGTAGGGTTTTTTTTTAGAGAATAAGGAACACATAGATGACGTTTTGACAATATGCAATCACTTTTCAAGGGACTTTGTGAGCTTAAGAGGTTGGAGAATTTTGTCAGTCCAGGAAAATGTAATCCTTAAATATGCCTTAAAGCAGATATGAGGTTTTCACCTGACAGTGATGATGAGCTTGCTCCATTAGACAGAGGAGAGGCCTGCAAAACGTGTGTTCTTTGTTTAGAAAAGTATTTAGTGAAAGCCAATAAAGGAAACAAAGGGGAAAAGCGTGCATGCATCATGCTCATGGCCTCATTGCTTACTTTTTTTCCCAACATGTTGTTTTGCACAGTTGATGTATTAATCCTCTTTATACAAGGTAATCAAATAAAATGTAAACTTACCTTGAAGTTAAGTGACATTTCTAAATACTTTTATGTCATTGCAATGTTTTTACCAAAGCCTTATTTGACCTCTGAGTGTTTTCTTCTTTCAGATGCATTTTTGTTTAAGTACATGAACCATAATGAAAACAGCCTGTAGGCCAAATAGAGCTCTGTGTTTACGGAGACACAGGACTCAAGAAGTTAATTGGATAGCTTTTGGTATTTCATAAACAACGTTCCTTAAATTCTCTGTATTGTGTCCTGCTCCGGGCCTCAAGGACAAAAAGGTCCTTGACTATAGAGAAGAAGTAACTTTTGGAATAAAAGGGTGATTTGTCTTAAAATGTCCTTTTTCACTGACCATCTGTGCCTCATATTTATCTTTACTGTCTTTAAAGCTTGAGTATATGTTCAAGTCATCCCTCATCTCCTGCTGCCTTTCTTCTTCTCTCACCAGAAAACAACTGGACAGTATTCATGTTCAGATAATTTATTAACCCTTTAAAAAAATGAACAGAATTCATTTCTCACAATAAGAAAATTACACATTTAAAACTGCATATATCTACTGCATACATTTGAATGTCCACAGCAGCACTGTTGCAATAAAAAGCAATGTGATCCATCTGCTATTCACACTGTCGGTCGGTGCAAAGGAGCAAATTGTGCACAGTACATCACTGTGTAGTACAAATATAGTCAATGATGTAATGAAATAAGTAACGCTTTACTTAAACTCCCCCAGGTTAGCACATTTAATGAAAGGTTTACAACACACTATAATGTCATAATAAGCAGTTATTAATGTATTTGTCAGCTACAATAACTTTTCCTGTGGGCACCCTTCGCTGGAGACTGGTGTAGAGACAAATGAAGCTCTCGTGAAAGTTCAGTAAGGATGGCAATACTTTTCATGCTCAGGCTGTAAGTTTCTTTCTCACCCTGCCATTCACTCCTTGCATGTATGCTACTCACTGTCTCTAGGTGTCATTGTCTGGGTAGGTCAATCGAGTCATCAGCTGATTCACAATCAACCAACAGCACAGCGACACACCTTCTCTGTCAGCCTATCATCTTAGTGCTCCTCATTTTAAATATTGTTCTTTCTCTGCTGTAGTTGGTCTTGCATCACCACCTAGTCTTTACGGACTTATCAGCCTCATCGCCTTCAGCAGTCAGCAGCCTCAGAGTCATCAGCCACCACCACCACCAGTGTCTAAAATCCATGGGGGGGGGAATTTATCCTGCTGCCGCTCAGATGTCCCTCGATGACAAAATATCTCCTTCTGGTGTCCAAACACCAAGCACCTCTGTTAAATCTTCACCAGCACAAATCACCTGTTAATCTGCACACTCATATTCTGTATTAAATAATGTCTTTACCCCACTCTGTCTCTCCTGATTGAAATACTTAACACAGTTGGAACTAGAAAAGTGCACTCAGTAGGGAGCAGATTTCTGCCAAGCAACTGCCCCAGCTCATCGGGACAACTCTAGACAATTCTTGAAATTCCAGAAGCAGTGCAGCAGCTCATTTGAAAAGCCATCAACAGCGTATAAAAGTAGCCTTGTCTATCTTTGACGGAGCAGCGGCGCGTTACACAGAGCTGATTGATTTCTCCTCCTGACAGGCACTGTAGCTGTATGTAGATAGCCTGCAGTGTAATAATGGGGGTGAGTGTTTTTTTAACACGTGAAACACAGTCACAAATCTTTGATCCTTATCATTCATAACTGGACTTTCAGACAAAAACAGAAACAATTTAACTACATATCCTGCTTGTTTACTTATGGTAGAGGCACAAATATCAAGGAAAACTAACCAAATCAATGCACAAAACTGGGTCGCAGGCGGACCGCAAAGAGCTGTGGCTGATGAAATTGTCCCTCCTGGCTCTCTTACAGTCAAGATGGCAGAGGAAATAACAAAAAATTGAGATTTATTCATCTCGTACTATGCCTAAATTCAGTGGATCATAACATATTGTGTATCAAATTAATCTGCAGGTGCCCTGGTTCATAATAAGACCAAACTTTTGTATAAATGTCAATTTTTGAGCCATGACAACCGCCAAAATGTGGCCTGCAACAGGTGGTAAGGCTCGTTGTTTTAAGCTGAGTTGATTTCTTAAACATTTGCATCCCCTACTCGCCAGTTAAGAGGAGTGAGGAGTCAGCGGTCAATGATGGTATAAAACAGTCAATAAAACAGGTCTTTCAACAAATGTGAGTCACTGCTATGAGAGGTCCTTGATCATACTGCATTAAAGGTGCACACAAAATATTAGGCTGATTGGTCCAGCACTTTGAAAGATTACCGTGCAGACAGACAGATACACACACACACACAACCAGTGCATGATCCCCACCAAGCTTATGCCTAGTAGAGATAATAATATAAAATATGTCTTTATAGGAGATTTTATAATTGTTGACAAATACTGCAAATAAACACTTAAAAATGCCCTTATGTCTGCTTATGACTACATTATAGTGTGTTATCGCCCATTTATTGTTCCTTATAAAGGGCTTTTAAAATTGGGAACGTGTTACCGTGAAGTGCCACAACAAAATGTTATTATTGATTATTATTATCATCATCAAGGTAAACAGCTGGTTATGCTAATTTTTTCAGACCAGTGCCATTAAAATGATCTAATAAAAAGAAGACACAAGATGACATAGATAAAAGAGCGCCAGTCAGACCTCAAACAGTGGAAAAGGATGACAAAAATGTGGCATTTATGTTTGTTTCATTTGTTAGTTTGAGGAACATTGCAGTCTTCTCAGTGGTCCACACAGATCTGATGTATTTGTCCCACATTCTTCACGTACGTCATGATTTATTCACCAAGGCCCAATCCCAATACACCCCTTGCCCTGCTACCACTTAGCCCTCCATTTTGCGCGTTCACGTCTAGGAGTAGGGTGCCCCAATTCTACTGAGTGCCAAGATGGCTGCAAAAGTAGCAAAGTCCCGTATTTTGACATATTTGCATGTCGCATTCCTCCCTTTGATGACACATGACGGTAAAATTTAAATAAAGTCCAGCAGCAAAGTTGTTGCACTTGTTTTCACTCTCCTATTATCAGTGCAGATTGGCAGGCTAGGAGCATAGGTTGCTAACGTTAACACTCGTCACACCTGTTTATTTAAAAGCCAGTATAGGCCTTTCTCACAGCAGACAGTTTGACTTGTAGTAGGAAAAGCACAGGTGTTATTGACAAGCTAATGTTGGCTCTGTTCTATTCAAATGATCCAGTGAGAGGGACAGTGAGCAAGCATGCAGGATGCAAGGATCTTGAAATAAATGCAGCTCAACGGAATTCAGCCTTTATTAACTTTATTATTTACACCTGTGTTGTTCCTACTGTGATATATCAAACTGTCTTTCGTGAAAAAGGCCTATCGACGACTACCAATAAGGTTCCCGAAGGGTTGTCCCATTTCAGAGGGAAAGATTTCAACCACTACCCCTTGTAACTCTGTTGGGGGAGGCAAAGAGGCACCTCAAAAATGAGTGGTAGAGGTTAAAATATGAAACGGGATTGGGCCTAAGCCCATTTATAATTTCACTTTATCAAATTTTGCGTTTCTCTTTCTGTTCCACCTCAGTTCTAATGTTTCCTCTCAGGGTTTTATATGCGAAATGGTCATAAAACAGGTGGATGGAAACGCACATAACATATCTTGTTGGTTCATTGTCACTATTGACATACTGGATTCACATATCCAAGATGGCACGCTGCTACACTTCTCTTTACTCCCAAAAACCTGCAGGGCTAACTTCACCAGATGGCAGCATCCAGACTCAGATGTTCAATGCTCTGCTGAACAGAAATCTGCTGTAAAATTTAAAGGAGATCAACGGCAGGTGCAGGTGAGGTCAGAGTGAGTTCATTAGCAGACTGACCACATTCACGCCCCATCTCTGCAATATGGCCGTCCATTTAGTGACGAGTCAATCCCTGCGTTGCCTTGCTTTCAGAATACAGTTGAACTTGCAATGAATGCAGTTTCATTTATTATTCAATACAGAAAAATATGCCAAGAAATGGTGCTTTACATTGACAATACAATGAATGGGAGAGTCCTCGTGCTCAAGAAGAGAGTTCACTCAAGTCTTTTCAAGATGCCAGGCACTGATTATCACAGAAATATGAACCGCAGACCTGGTGTGCAATGTAATCTTTCACACTCTTATCTGCATTGATTCCTTTGGCTTATGTTTGCATTTCCTTCTGTCTTTCTCTGTTTCCATTAACTTGGTCTGCCTCAGTTCTCAGCTGCTCCAGGTCCTCCTCAGAGCTGCAGGCGCTGTGCTGCCTCCCCCGGGAGAAAATTCTGCGACGCGATTGGGCGCTGAGGTCCAGTAAGTCGAAGGAATCAGAGGAGAAGAGACTATCCTCACTCACCACACTGGAGGGGCGGCTGTGACGACCCTCGGCGCCCCCTGTGACCTGGAGGAGCTGCTGCAGGGCCTCGGGGAACATCGCCGGGGCTGAGTGGTGGTCATCCGGAAGATCCAGACTGCGAGAGAACTTGCCATTACGTTTCAGAATACCCTTCCTTCTTCTGACTGCCTCTGTGCGCATAGTGGGGCTGTTTTCTGCCGCTGGGAGACAAGTGTGCTGTTTGCGTGAGCACAAATTACCTGTATCACCCCCCTCTTTAACTTCCACTCCAGAGATCCTTCTTTCAGAGGATGAGCCATAACCTGACTCCCCTCCATACAAGTTCTTCAGTATCCCCTTCTTGGGCATTTTGGATGAGGGCTGACTGAATGTAGAGGGAGGCGTAAGGCTGGTGGACAGGGCATCAGCATGTGTGTGGGTAAGTGTATGTGTTCGGAAAGGCTGGGGAGCAGCGTTACACGGTTGGGAAGGAGAGTTTTCTTTAGGAGGGCTGTGAAAGACTGAGTCAAAACTCCTCTGTGGTTTCAGAATACCTTTGGGTTTCTTTCTTTCAATGGTGGAAGTGGAGGAAATTGCAGCAGAGGAGGCAGCTGTTGCACAAACACCAGCACAAGCTCCCAGTGCAGTCTGGGGAATTGTATTCTCCTTGCGGGACTTTCTCAGGCTCGACATTCCTCCACGTACCCTTCCTCCTCCTCCTCCTCCTCCTCCACGATCACTCTTTAGAGGTAAGCTGAAGTAAAAGGGGTGGGAAGAGAGCTGAGGTGGACAGGACGAGTCTGAGGATAGGCACCCTGGGTCAACAGTCATGTTGCTGGTAGCTGTGACCCGATTCTGCCAGTCGATGTAGCGAGCCAGCAGGGGGGAGGGGCATTCTTGGTGTGGAGATGGAGGGCAGTCACACACACTCTCTTCAAAACCCCAGTTCACCCACCAGTGGTTGGCTACGTCCTCTATCGTGGCCCTCTCGTCCACACGTACTGTCAACAACCAGTCGATAAGAGCGCAGGCATCTGGAGGAAACAGAGCCAAGAGTTATTTATAGCAACCACACTGACTAAGACAATGTAATTAACAGGATATCATGTTGTAAGAACAACACACGAAGAAATAACATCAGACACTCCGATGAATAGAAATGTAAATATAACGTTAATGACATTGTGAAGGGTTACCTGAGGGGGGGTTGGGTCTGCGGTAGCGACCTTGGCTGATCTGCTCTGTGAGTGTGGCGTGGCTGGCCCCATCGAATGGCATGCTGCTGTACACCAGGGCGTACAGCAACACCCCCAGTGCCCAGCAGTCAACCTATCATGGCAAACACATAATGAAGAACATGGCATGAACAACAGAAATTCAGGCATTGACTTAATGCAGTGAGGCGGTGCATGATTTCCACAAAAATTACAGTGTGAGCATCTGAAAATGTGTCTGATTTTTCTACATCTTTATAAAAATTTGAGACTTTGAAAATTACGTTATGCCGCATCCATTTCATGTGGTTCCTTTGCAGCACATGCAAGGCAAAGTCAGTGTTATAAAGGAATACTTAAGCCCCAAAATGAGCATTTGTACATCAATTACTCACCAAATCCATGCAAAAGACACTATTTTTCTCACATTCCTCAATGGTGAATGAAGAATCCAAAAACAAAGAAAACTGTTGATGAATTGGAGCGAAAGGCGACAGCAAAACTATATCAAACTGTTAACCCACAGGAGAGGACAGATGTCGAGAGAAATGGGAGGCATGAGAGAACGAGTCACCGACTATGTCACGGGGGTGAATAGCTTTTGGGAGACAGGTCAGTCTGGACCTTTTTGTTTATTTGTTTACTTATTTTTTGCTTGTTTGTGTTTTTGTACTCTTTTTTTCCTATCTTCTTATGACATTTTGTAAAAACAATGCATGTGTTTGTTAAGTGTTGAGCATACGACAGGATAAATGAGACTTGGTTTAGCTGTTCGTAA